CTTTGGAATTATAAAGTATTTGTGAGTATTCTTATTTTGTGGCAGTGTGGTCATTTGCATAAGTTTAGTAATACCTGTTGCCTTACATTAGAAATGAGAAATGCTGGTTATTGCCAGGGCTTTGAATGGAATGTCATCTGAAGATATGACCAGAAAGTTAAACTAAGGTTGACTTCAAGAAAGCCAACAGAAGCTCTTGGAAAGGTTGCCTGGTACCAATAACAGTTCTGCCTGGCAGAGGAGTAAAGAATTTCACTTCCTAACAGGCCCCAAAACTTCCAAGTACAGGTACTTAAAGGCACAGTCAGATGGTGAATTCCTGACTTGGCTCAGTAGCCTTGGGAGGATTTTTAAGAGTCAAATCTGAAGTTCCTTATAAAATGTTCCAGCAAAGCCAACTAAATCAGTTAGTATTCTTATTGAGCTTTGTACAAATAACAAGATCAAATTGAGACTAAAATTTTTTTGCAAGTTAGTTTATGCTTCTCTTTGGTAAAAAGGGGAATGGAGAGAGAGAAATGTTTCAGAATAAAACTACAGTGTACTTGTTGCTAGATGTTAAGCTCTGTCCATACTTGTTTGAGTTTTTAGTATCTACCCACTGTTTTAAAGGAATCCTAACCTTTTCCTGGCTTTAAATCTTAAGTAAACTTTTCTTAACATTTTTTTGATTTTGGTTCATTAAAGCTAGAACTGCTTTTCTTAAAATGAAAAAAATAATAACAACAATAGCAAACTAAAGACAGTGCAGGAGAAAGGTGGGCAATGGGGGAGGGGAGAAATCAAGGTAAAAAAAAAAAAAAACCACAAAGCATTAATGGACACAAAAATGGAAAACTATCTGCTGATAATGTGTACGATAATATCTTTGACTGCACTATATGCAGTGTATTCAAGATGGCAAAATTCATTTTGTATGCTGTAAAGATGTATAGTGATTAAATGAAAAAAAATAATAATAATCTGAATTAAGAGAGGGAGAAGACAGCAGGACTCATCTGAGCTTGACTTAGAATTGTATTCTAGTTGTTTCTCTATAAGCTTTTCACATATTATTCTACTTTAATCTATTTCCATACGTATGATTATTTCATTTTCCCTGAGGATTAAATATTTTGTGTGTATGTGGGTGGGGGGAGATGGTAGACTCCTCCATGGCCAGTCATGGTTCAAGTCCCAGACCTAGCAGCTTGCTTTCTCACTTCCCCTCTCTCTCTTTCTCTGTCACTCTCTCTCTCCAACCAAATTTAAAAAATAATGGCAGACATAATTAAATAAATAACTTAAAAAAAAAGATGCTATTAACAAACAAGCAGCTCTAATCTAAGCTCTGAAAGTGA